GCTCCAGTCCGTCCTCACACTGCGAGTCTGGACTGGGGCCGCGCCCTTACCTGGGCTTCTGCTGCAGCGGGATTTCCGCGCTCCGGGAGGTGGGCAGTGCTGTTCACATGTGGGAGTCCCTTCCCCGCGAGCCTTAGCTCGTCCCCGGGGCGTCTTGTGCTTCAACATCACGACCTTATTTTAACCTCCAGGGCCGGGACACTTACTTGTTGGTGACTCTCAGGAGAGGTATGATCTCTCTCCAGAAAGATGCATCCGTCCACACACATGTCAAGGTTTACACTTAGTTCCCGGGGATTTGGGCCATTCCAAAGCACACCCCTGGACCCAGGGTAGAACTCCCTGGGTTGGAGCCCGGGATGGGGGAGGGCACCTCTGAAGTCTGCCCGTACACAGCTCAGTGCTGGGTCTGGGGGCACCTCTGCACCTGTCCCATCCACCCCTCCTGTCCTGGCAGAGCGTGACTTGCTCAGGGAACCACGTTGGGCTCCTCTGCCAGCTACAGGGCAGCTCAGGAGGGAAAGTGCCAGCGCTCTTCCTCCCTGGTCATTGGAGCCTGCTCGGTGCTGCTGGCACACGTTTGACTACAAAATTGCCCTCCACCCTGAGCTTGACCTTCACACATGGGCTTGCTTCAGTGGGCACACCTCCTTCCAGAAGCCAGGGTATGCAGGATGCTAGTCAGGCGCAAGCCCCCCTGCCCTGCCCTGGCCCCTCCTGGGCCTGTGGAGGTGAGCCCTGGGCGTACCTGAGCATCAGCTGGCCTTTCGGAGCCTTGGATTTGTCTGGAACGAGGGGTAGCACCTCTGCTCCACCTCTTGTGTCACTGTGAGGTTGTGGCTCAGCACGGTATCTTGAACAGGTGTCTGGTCCCTCTCTGATGATTATTTGGTCCTGGGTATCACCTTCACACCTCTCTCTGGCCTGGGCGCTCAGGCTTGTCTGAACTATTTGGGGTTCAGAGGGCTCCTCCCTGAATCTGACTCGTCCACTCCTAACCCTCCCGTTCTCCGCTCTCTCCGCAGTGCTCATCACCCACAAGGTCCTTCGGAAGGCCCGAGGAAACCTGGAGGTAATCCCTGTATAGCTCCTCCTGCGGAAAGCCAGGTGGGCGGGTGGGGCAGGGCAGGCAGCGACCTCTTTGAACAACGAAGGTGAACCAGGGCACGTGCCCTCCACACACAGGAGCACAGAACTTGCCTCTCATCTGCCACGGCCTCAGTGGCTCTGATTACCAACTGGCTGCGGTTTTCACCAGGGAGAGACAGTGCCTCGTGCCTGGTGCACAGTGGGCGCTTGGGAAATAGTTTTTGAATGCATGTTTGTAAATATGATCGCGTTGTCATTTGGTAGTTTCAGCATCACAGGGTTCCTGTTGACTCTGTCCCATTAACTCTGTTCCCTCGGACACCCTCCTTCACTCCTAAGCTTCTCCTGTTTTCCTCTCTTCCAGCTGAGGCCCGGGGGCGCCCACCCAGGACCGTGCAGCCCCAGCAGGCCGGGCTCCTGAGAGCGTGCAGACAATAAAGCTTGCGGTTCCCACAGTCTCCTTGTCACAGGCGTGGTTCCTACTTACGGAGGAAAAGAGCTGTCTGCTCAAAGGAAATCTGTTTTTCCTTTTAATGTTTTCTGTCCTGAAGTTGGTTTAAGGGTTGTTGTCAGACAAGGTTCCCATGCTGTGCAGGCCTTGGCGTCCGGGCGTCCCTGTGCCCTGTGCCACCCGATTCGCTTAGTGCTTAGCCAGCCCTGCAGGGTGACGGTTCACATGAAATGAGTCGTTTCAACTTGGTGATGCAGTGACTGTGTGTGGAGCTCAAAGCCCAGGTCCCCCACACCCAAGGGGGACAGGCTGGGTCTCGGAGTGGCCCTCAGATGTTGCTAAGCTCTCTGCCGATTCCAGCCAGGTGTCCAGAGAGGAATGACGCCACGTGGCATGGCCGGGGCACCTGCACCTGGTGCCTGCACCTGGCATGGACTCGGCGATGCACAGAGATGCCCTCGAGCAGCCCTCTGAGGTGGTGCCGTTCCCACTGAGACCGACCAGAAGGCTGTGGTGGGGACTTGGCAGTGCAGTGTCCCCACAGTGACCTGGTCTTTCCCCCCCACTGCCTGCTGCATCTGCTACAGCCCTGTCCCTGGCCTTCCTGTTAAATTGTCCTCCACCTTTGCCCTGAGCTTCGTGATGTCCCTGAGACATACACAGGGTGGGGCAGGTGAGCCTCCAGACTGGCATTTGGCCTGAGCGGTGCCAACAGCCGCTCTGCTTTTCTGCCCCGCAGCCCTGCCCACCACGTCGGTGCCTTCCAAAGCCCTCCCCGGTGGGGTGGCCGAGCGACGTTTCGGCTCCATCACTCAGTTCAGTACCGTCCTTAGTCCATGACCTCACTGGTGGCGGAGTGGCGGGCGGTCAGGATCGGGCCAGTCTTCCCAGCACAGCAGAGCAACCTGTCCAAGGCTCGTACCTTCGAGATGAAGCTGGGCGTGATCCCACCTGTGCTTTCTGCTGCTGCCCCTGCAGCTCCCCGGACACGACGGTGACGAGGTGATGTGATTGCATCGGCTGCAGGCACAGGGATGGAAGAGCAGGAGCCAGGCTGGGAGTCGGGGAGCTGGCCTCATTCTGGCCTGGGCCCCCATTTCTTTGTTTCCCGTCAGGTGAGGGGCAGGGCAGGTGGGCAGGAAGGACCCTCTCTGCTTGGGTTCCTGCCACCTGAGCTCTCTTGAGCAGTGTTGGCACAGGTGTCCCTTATACATCCAGCGCGTGAGAACTCCGGTTCAGGCGTAAAGTAACGTGGCAGCTCCTTTTCCAAGAAGTCACACAATTGGATTCCTTAGCGGGAGCTCTGATCTGTGGCTGGGACAGCTCCGTGTGGTTCTGTGGAGGGAGGTTCTGGCTCGTAGTCCCAAGTCACAGCCCTGTCACCAGTCTCTGCGTCTGTAAGTGGCAACCTCCCTTCTGCCCAGTCTGATCACAGTGTGGGAGCCTCAAGATTTGAAAGTAGCCAACCGAGCCCTTTCCTAAAACTAATGACCCTCATTCAGTGTCTAAGTGCTTGGTCTCTAGGATGCTTTCAAAGCACTACTTTAAGTTACCAGTGGTTGGTGAGCACAAATGCAGCTGAGTAAGTGTTGAGGCGGGCAGACAGGACAGAGGTTAGAACTTGGGTGGGGCTTAGAGGTCAGACGCAGGTTCAGATGTACATACAGGGGCAATTGTGTGTATATTGCCTGGCATGTGGTCAGTGCACAGGCCTGGGAGCTGGGCTTGGTTGTTGGCAAGGGCATGAGCGGAAGGGTTATGAAGGCAGATACACTTTTCTGGCACATTCCCGGCCCATGTGGTTGCCTGAGAGGAGGCCCTGGGGAGGAGGGGCTCTGGGAGTCCGGCCAGCCACTCACCTCAGCCACCCACAGCCTTTCAGGAACACAGCCATCCAAGGCAAAGTGTATCCCCCCTCCACCCCCACTCCCCGCCTTAGAATCGTGCAAACTATTCCCAACCTTGGGTTAGTGGAGGCCCTCCCTCTGGGAAGTGGAGGAGCAGCCCGGTTTGGGCTGGATTGGGGCCAAGAGCAAACTCCACAAATAAGGACAATTTGGACTTTAGAAAAGGCTCCATTGTTCCTGGTGAGTTAATTTCACCAGCAGCTGAATTCAGGAGGCTCTGAAGCCGTAATCTGAAAATGCATCAGTTTCCCGTTGGTGAAATTAATCACCACCTATGTCCTCGGACTGGAGCTGCACCTGCACCCGAGAGGGGCAGCTGCAAAGTCAAATACACAGGAGGGGGGAGGCACAGGCCTCCTGCGCGCCCACCTTGGCCCACTTGCCCACTTCCCTGGCATCAGTCCAAAGGGTAAAATCTTTGCTCCTGCAGGCTGGCGCCCACCTGCCTAGCAGTAGCCACACTGCATCCTCTCATTAGTTAATTTGCACCATCCTGATCATTTTACAAACGAGAAAATGGATGGAATCACCTTAGTACAGGGTGGGGGATGTCTGGCCATTGGGCCTTACAAGGCCCAGAAATCATTTGGTCTGGCCCTGCCAAGGCATTAAGGGTGAGATAATTAAATGTTTGACCAAATAGAGCAGGCTAATTTTTAAGCTGATAATTTGTATGGCCTGTGAATGATGCTATAAATATCCAAATGGCCCTGGGCAGTAAAAAAGTCCCACCCTGCCGGAGTAAGTGCTGCAGCCAGGATTTGCACCCAGG